TCAGTCCCACCACCAACCACCACCCCTCCCATTGCCCCGTGACCCCCACCCGAGGCCGCCGCCAACAACCCCCCTCACCTGCTCACAGCGCCTAGTCTCCCCCCGCCAACCAGCTCTCCCACTCGGCGTGCAGCATCTCGCGCTCGACCTTGTTAACGACACGCATGGCGACGAGCAGGTCGTGGCGGTAGGCGCCCATGCGCTGGCGCACGCGCCGCACGCGCCGCGCCGTCGCCCGGCTGGTGGCCGATCCGAACTCGGTCGTCCCCGCCCCGGCTCCTGCGCGCCCCGCGTCTTGGTAGGGGGCGTCCAGACTGAGGGTGGTGGCGTTGAGGAGGGTTTGGAAGGTGGTGTAGCTGTTATGGGGGGAAGGGGTGTTAGTGGTGGTTTGGTGGGAAAGATTGGGTGGAAGGGAGGGGGGAGGAAAGGGAAACATAAACATACCATTGGCTTCCGCCGTCTTTCCTCGGGGCCATAGTATTATTACTATTACCCGCCGCCTCGTCCAGATCAGCCAGATAGATGGCCTTGCTCATCATCAAGTTCGGCCCGACGCCCAGCCGGCTCATGTACCGCGCCGACTTGCGCTCGACCCACCACGTCGAGCTGGCCTGGGAGATGACCACCAGGTTATATGCCGCGCTGGCCGCCAGCAGCAGCAGGATGAGTCTGTTCGCAGTGACGATCTTGAAGATCCGCCTCACCGCGGCAAAGGCCCACATCATGACGCTGGTGATGGCGCTCTCCATAAACGACCGCCCCGTCTCCAGCATCATGTCGGTCAGCGTGCGTGGGCGCACGGCCGCGGTGCCGGACTTCTGGAGCAGTTGCTGGCCCTCGGGGGTGGTGTCGGGCGAGAAGACGACAATCTGGGTTTGCTGGCCAATGTTGCCGTACACCTGGATGGCACGCTTGGTGCGGCTGTGCGGGCCGAGCTTGCGCACTTGTTCCGTGGCGATGTCGGCGACCTCGTCAGCATCGTTGGCCGCGTCGTCGAGCGCTTGACGCTGCACCATGTTCTTCCAGGCAAAGGCGGGCGTCTTGGACCAGTCGGCTTTGGTGTAGATGGCCAGCTTGCACTTGGATTTGGCGAGGTGCGTGATGACCACCTTGGTGACGAGCTTAAAGGCGTGGGAGTGCGGCAGGTGCCATGGGGTCTTGATGTGCGTGACCACGTAAGTGATGTGGTCGTTAAAGATGTCAATGGTCTGCGAGTCAGTGACATCCACCGGCTTCTTGCGGCCGAGCATGTCGACGTAGTCAACCTTGAAGCGGAACTGCCGCTTCATAAGACCGTGGTCCTTCAGCTCCCAGGGTCCTTGGGTGATGTCCTTCGCGCCGCGCTCAAAGTAGAGCTTAGGGAGAATGAAGCTCTTGTCTCCAAAGAGAACATGGAAGCATGACTTGGCACTAATCTCAAAGTGCCGCTCGGCCACGCTCTTGCCCATGCCTTGAGGTTCATACGTTACCGGGTGCGTAGGTAACTGGAGCTTATGGTTCGACTTCTTCAGGCCGCGTGACCTATTACGGCCGTGCGAATCCTGTCCCCGTCTCAAGACGGGCCTGCCAAATGGTGTGCCGTTGTCAGCCGGTGTGTTGGATGACACCTCCTCCCAGCTCTCAACGCTGGGGCTCCGCTTGTCGTCCTGCTCCTTATTCAAGGTTGACAGTGTTGCAATGATCTCAGACAGTTCCATCGGCTCTGCCGCTTGGAGGTCATCAACCAAGAGGTTGAGGCGGGACTGGAGGAGCGAGAAATCCTCTAGGAACACCTTGATGGTGATCCGCGAGTATGTGATGTCCGGCATGTCCTGGTTCAGATGCAGGAAGATGAAATCGCAATCCCGGCCTGGTGCAGCCGTCAGCTCCGTGATGCTATCGAGGTTGATGGCATACGCCACGACCAGACCCATTTGGTGGCCGTAAAAGTACATGCGGTCCGGCGTGACAAAGATGCGTCCGTTACCGGCCATTCCCGCGTCTTTGCTATCGGGTGACGCGCTGGACCAAGCGGCGTTGAATACCAACACAGGCTTGTCATCTGGAAGCGCTGTTGGGAAGAACAGCCGGAACTGCGCGTACTGCGCCCTCAGCTCGGGAGGGTAGTTGAGTGGGAACTTCTCCGACGGCGCCTGCTCTCGGATGCGGATGTCTGCAGCTGTGGCGTCTACGCTCACCGTCTTCCTGTGCGAGTTGGCCGGCGTAGGCAGCTTCTCGACCGTTGGCGTCCTAGGCATGGCGGTGGCCACGAAGGGATCGCTCATATCCGGCTTGGGAGTATTAGGAATGGAAGGAGTAGGGCAATACATGGACGTATAGGGACTGCTTCCCCAGTAGTTGGCCAGGACCGCGCTCGGCAGGCCACGAGAGGCTCCTGCATTAGCACTCGCCAGTATGGCGGTTTTGCTCAGATTGGTCGCGACAGGCGGCCTCGCCAGAGTGATAGGAGCCAAACTTCCTGGGGTTTGATCGAGCAGGGAATTAGGGACGCGTAGCGGAGGAGGGTACCCGAGATGAGGAGAGGTCGCCGTGCTCGAGGTCATGCTGGCTCCCGTTCCTGCGCTGGACGGATCCATCGAGCCCGTGAAGGCCGATTTGCGGTGCAAATCCAACTTCTGCATGATACGCGCAGCATGCTCCCGTCCACTCTCGCCATCCTCCCGGCCAAGGTGAGTAGTAATCGCCCTGCGGGGAGGAGCGTCGAAGCTCGCTCGCACCATGTTCCCGTCCGGGCCCGGGACGGGGAGAGTCGTTTGCCTTTCCACCACGCTAGCCTCGTCAAGATTGTCGAGCATCTTGGCCGAGAACTCCGGAATCGACGGTGGAGTGATGGAGAAGGCCGGGTCGGTCCCTCCCAGAAGCGAGCTCTGGTCCCGGCCCATGCTAGCCTCGATCGCCTTCTTCTTGGCTACCTCGAACACCTCGAGCCACTCGATCAGCTGTGCTTGCGTCTCGGCCTGCAGCATGATGGTCTGCGTCTTGGTCTTGATCTCGAAGCAGAACCGGCGCTCTTCCTGAACCGCCGGCCTCGCGCTGCACAGCAGCACTCCGATCTCGTCGCCTTGTAGCACGCCCTGGGGGCCCTGGATCAACCACCCGAAGATACCATCACGGCAGTAGTACCACCGGCGTGTCCAGGCCGTCCTAACGGGCTTCCCAGACAGCACACGCAGAAACAGCCACCCTTGCTTTTCCGAGATGACGGCGGCCTGGTCGCCCCGCTGGATGCTCATGGGCCCCTTGGAGCCAAGGAACGGCACGGTCGAGATGCTGTAGTCTTCCAGCTCCCTCGACGGCTTATACACGGCCAACGTGCTCTCGCCGATATCCCGCCTCGCAATCTGCGCCTCCCTCTTAAACACGGACTCGGTCATCTCCATCTCCCTCGCCCAGCCCCTGATCCTCTCCAGCTCGCTTCCCCACGCATTTTGACCACCGAGGCCGGCCGCCTGACCACCCGTGCGCCGCATCTCCCGCCCAACATCGGCACAGACGCGCACGAGCAGCTTATCTAGCCCCGCGCGCACCTGCGGCGCCATCTGGCAGTAATCCAAGCTCGCCTTGAGGTACGCGCGGCGGGTCTCGAAGACGGCAAAGGCGTCCTCGCGCAGGGAGCTGGGCTCCTTGGTCTTGCTCTGGCCGACGTAGCGGGCGAGGGTGGCGTCGAAGGTCTTTTGGGCGGCCTCGAGGATGCGGCGGGTCTCGCGGAAGGTGCGCAGCTCGCCCTGGACGTAGGCGCGGATCGGCTCGACGCTGGCCGGCTCCAGGCGGCGCACCACGGCGAGGATGCCGCCCCACCAGTCACGCGCGCCGTCGGCGGCCCGGCGCAGCGCGGGCACCGTGTAGTCGGCATCGAGAACGTGCGAGTCAACGGGCGAGGCGATAGTCGGCGGCGAGATCTTGGAGAGGTAGGAGCCGACCGAGTCTTCGAGCGCGAGCACGTCGTGCACGAGCTTGGAGGTGCTGCGGACGTAGTTCTCGAGCCAGCGCTCAATGGCGTCGAGTTGGTCGGAGAAGTGTACGGCGGTGGCGCGGAAGGTCGGTGAGTCGAGGGCAGCTTCGTTGAGGGTTACAGGGATGGCCGGGCCGGTGTGCGAAGGCGGCGTCGGGAGTTGGGGTTGTAATTGTGGTTGTGATTGCTGAGAGGGTTGGGAGGATGATGGTTGGGACGGTTGGCTAGGGCCAGAGGAGGTTGTTGGCGCCAGCATCGTCGCTGAAGGTCGTAACCCTGCTAGGGCTGCCGCCGGTGGGACTGTCGGTTCGTTCATCTCGAGACTCGGGATCGGGACGGAGACGGGAGCTATCTTGTGTCCCCGTAGGGGGCTTCTTCTGTGCAGCCTTGGGTGATACAAGGAGGTATTTCAAGTTGGACTACTACCGCAATGATATCAATCATTTAAGAGAATTTATGGCTATCCAAGCTTCGTCATGGTCGAGAATATCCCGGCTGGGGATTCCAAGTTGGTGATGTTCAATGTATGGGGAGGTTGTTGTTTCGTTGGTTTCGTTGGTAGATGACACCCAATGACGTTCTGTTTCAGTTCAAGCCAATCCGCAGCCAAGCCACTACAGAACAGTTCGAGAACACCTGTGGCCTGGGATGTGCCGCTAACGGTTAGTTAGCGCCCCCTGAGCCGTTTTGATTAGGTAGGTGGGTACCTTTAGTGTTCCAAGACCGCCTATCTTGCACAGTGCGCGGCACCGTCTCCTTTTTCCCCTTTACTTTGCCCGATTTTCTTGGGGGTACTTCAACAACAGAGAGGAGCTCATCATCGGGTTTGCATGTTCTTCCTAGATAATTCGCTAGATCTATTCCACGGAATAACACCAAGTGATACACCCCTCGTTCTTTGTTTGCTGTCTTACTCCGTCACTTGACTACCTAGCAAAACTCGTCCCATGCCTCTGCTGTCCGAGATATCTGGGTGTGCTCCTAAGGTTGCTCATTGCCGTCATCCAAGTCATTTGGAAATATATAAGTCTTATACAAGGCCTTATCTCGCCCTAGAAGACACACCCTGGCAGGAATCTCACCCCTCAACTTGCTAGGCCTTTGAACCACCATTTGAACAGGGGTAAAGCCAGACATGTTGGACGGGGCAATGCATGAACCAAGCCCATCGCTCTCTGTGCCGTCAAACGCTAGCACCGGAGGCGTCTGCCCCTTTGTATACCCCTGGTAAAGCATTTGGGGTGACTGGTAGGTGATCCGTAGCAGAACCGACCTTGGCTCTTCTAGATTGTTGTTAACACGACCTGCAACTTTGCTTGATGGCTCAGCCTTACCTTTTTGGCTACACAAAACTAACAAAGACTTGTCGTCGAGAAACTTGAGGTCAACAATAGCTACGCCATCAGGTAACCTTAGCACACAAGCTCTTGTTGAAGTCGGGGTGTTGGCGCTTTCTGCAAGCGGGACGTCGGTACGAATAATGCAGACTAAATGATACGTTAGCTGAAAGCGTCATCCGCAAAGGCATATCGAACCAACTCTGTGACTTGTCATCTTCTGGAACCATCGCGGTAAACGTCGGTGCTGAAAGGTTCTGAAATACCAATTAGCACGCCATCCAAACTCGAGCCGTGGATAGCAGACTCACCTTATGAGGCCGGCCCATCCACAAATCATGTTTCCATAACTTTCTTCCAATGGATATTTCAGTCCCTTGGCCAAACTTGACACCCCGCTTCTCTGCGTTGGCAATGCCATCAAAAACAGCGTTGGCGCTAGTGACCAAATAGTTCAACAGAAAGTCGATGCGAGGAAACACCTTCATGTATGGCCGGCCTCTCGCTTGCTCCCGTAACTGCTTGTCTAAGAGGTCAACCAGAGACACGCCCGGCGCTATCATCTCCTGGTCTTTGGTGTAATCCTCCTTTGCGACCTCGTCGAAATACACTGACAAAGGACTGCTAGCCAAGTAATGTTGGATGTATGACAGCACTCTGGGGCTGTCCATTGTTGCCTCTTTCTCAGACAACTCCTCGGTGATTGAAGACGACCCTTGCTTGTCGATTTCCAGCCGCAGCCAGATTGAGAAGGCGTTGAAGTACTCCAGCTCGTCCATAACGACTGTCAAGATTCTGTGAGCAACCATCATCAGGCACGAAACAATCTCCATGAGCTTGGCAATCTGGGCTTCATCAAACCCGATGCCCTTTCCAGTGCCGTGGAAGCGCGCAATTCCGAGCAGGCGGCTGAGGATGGCACCACACCTTTCTAGTGCGGGTACAAAATTTCCGTGGACCAGGCCACGAAGACTGGTAAGGCCAGATACAACCGCCTTTTCCCAGCGCTTGTGTCCCTATAAACACAGTGAGTTTAGATCATGGTTTGAACTCATTAAGTGGGACTTACTCGTTCACCGAGGGTGTCCACAAGCCACTCCTTCACTGGCTCATAGACGTGGCCTGTAACCACCGTGTGGTAAAGCGCCTGAACGACCGTCATATCTCCGTTGGGCATTTTCTTGAGATCATCCTGGACCCCGGCCATAAATCGCCGTGGCAACTCCCGCGTCGACTGCCAGTCGCTGACCATGTGTGACTGCGTGGATTTTAAATACCGCAGCAAATTTTGCAACGTGGTTGTCTTGGAGGCCAAAAGCGACAAATTGGCCGGAGAGGAGTCTAGGAAGGCCAGATTCATTGGTACCAAATACAAAGCGGTACCATCCCCGGTCTCTGGTCGAAGCAACAGCATGTGAGTTGAAACCTCCGGGCGCGAGCTGTGTCCGCAGAGATGGAAAATTTCGTCACCACCACGAGGGGAGTGCTTTGCGGTACCGATGACGAACGAGTCGTTGATGCTGAGATGTATCCCGCCATCAGTCGTCCCCACGACCATAACATGTACATCGTCGGCTTCTTCGGTCTTGAACGGCCGAAACACAGACTCGAGCGATGCTGTTGACGAAAACAAGAACATGTCATCCCTACTCCAGTCAGCAAACACCTCGTCCCCTCGGGAAAAGGACAGCCACTTGCCCTGACCCGCCGGCAGGCAACGGGCTGAGTTTCGGTAACGACGTTTCGGCCTCCAAAAAGACCAATTCGCGCGGCAAATCGACCGCCACATCCCCCGTCCTCTCTCCATCCAGCAATATCCTCCTCTCCTGCTCACCCCCTTTCCCAAGGCCCCCCTTCCTCCGCCGACTCTCTCCCGTAGCATTCCTCACCCACGCAATGAAACTGATCTTCCCCACCGCAGCATCACCAACACCACCACCACCATCCTCACGCCCCCGCAAGACCCGGATATGATGCACCGCCTTGCTACTCTCCAACCCCACCAACCTCACCACGCCATCACTCCACCCAGCCGCCAAAAAATGCCCTACACCCAACCCAAACCAACACCACGTCAGCCACACAACCCCCAACAAAACCAAACCAAACCACACAACACGAAACAAAACAAAAAAAAAGGCAAAAAAGAAACCAGGCATAGCCACTTACCATCAGCCTTCCAGGCCAGGGCGTCTACGGTCCTGCCGCGCTCGACGCATTTCGAGACCAGGCCCTGGTCGCCGGCGCGCCAGACGAGCAGGGCGGCGCCGGCCTCGCCAACCGTCGCCGTCAGGTCGATGGCCGGGTTGCAGGCGAGGTGGCCGGCGGCGGCGGGGGACGATAGCGCGGTGGTGCCGAGGAGCGCTAGTTTCGCGAGGGGGGCGGGGTGGGTGGCCATGTTTTTTTCGGGGCGGAGGGGGGGGGGGGGGGGGGGGGTGGTTACTTGTTTGCTTTTTTCGTCTTCGGTTGGTGGTGATGTTAGGGGAGCGGGGTGCTGCTGTTGGGAAGGGAAGGGGAGCTGAGGTTGTTCAGATGCGAGAGAAGTAGCTTTTTGGGGTCCCTTCGTTGATGAGATTGAAGAGCACTCATGTGGTTGGATGGGTGATGAAGGCCATTCTTTGGATGTCAAGAGGTTGCGAAAAAGGAGGGGTCATGCCATTAATCCAGACTCGGTTTTTTGAAGTCGTGTTGTTTTGGCTTTGGTTGTTCTTGCCTGATCGTGATGTTGTTTACGGTTCTGCCCTCCGATGGGGAATCCTCTGTTGTGTGTATGGTTCCAATACTCGCACTGTACGTCTACTTGTAATGGAAACTGATTTCAGGAGAGCAGGAGAGTAACCGTCGCCAATCTCAGCGTCCCCACCTTTTTCAGCGCTTTTGTCCCACGCTGGTAAAACATCCATTCACTTGGTGTGTTTTGTAAGTTGGAATATGATAAATAGGACATTTTTCCCGCCTCTAGCCACGCCGCGCACCAAAGATACATGCCTGCTCCAGCGCCAGCCTCCCTCGTTCCTTAGCCCAGCCTCTTGCTCTTTCTACTCGATTACATAGCCCTCGGCAACCGATTTGATCTCCTTGGAGAACGTAACCTCCTCGTTCATCTCAATCAGCTCAACCGATCGGACCTATAGATGGATTGATTAGCCGACGCTTTTCACTGCTTTGCGGATAGAGAAAACTTACATCAACGTCCATGAAGGGTGTCGTCTTCGAGAACCGCACTTGCATCGGGAAGAACTCGTCCTCGTCGTCCGTCTGCGCCTCAAACTCAAACGCCCCGCTGGGGTTCTCCTCGCTGACCGTGCCGATGGACCACTCCAGGCTGTCGCCAGAAACCTCGTAGACAGCGTCGAAGCTGGAAATGGAGGGTTCGGCACTTGTGAATGGTACAACAACGCTGACATCCTTCAATGTATCGCTTCCGGTCAACTCGTACTCGATTGTCAGCGTGCAGTTGCCATCCGAGCCCTTGTTAACCCAGACAGTAAAGGTAATGGGTAACACGCTCGTATCGTCCGCTTTGGGAGCCGCCCGCCATCGGAGAACGCCCACGGCGTTGTTCACAGGGAAGCCCCGCGCTACGTTGGCCATTTGGATCGTCTTGGAACTATTGAATGCGTTCTTGTCCACGTTGGGATGGGTCCGGAACTGCGCGCCATGCGACGGCGTAGCATCGAGGTTCAACTTAAGCTTGGTGAGCGACGCATCCGTCACGCGCAGCGACAGGTCGCCGCTGACGGAGAACGAGTTCAGGCCCCCTTCTCTGGAGATTTTGGCCGTAATGGCCTCGTTGATTGTGACGTGGATCGCGTCTCGGTCTAATGTCGACGATATCCGAGGGGCCGCGCTCGGTTCTGGGGCAGACGGGGTGGCGACGGGCACAAGGGGGGTGTCGTCCACTGGCCCCAGCTCTGTCTTTACGCGTTCGAACATGTCTGTGGTCTTGGACTTCTTGCCCAGCTGCATACCCTTGCCCTTTGGTGCGGTAAACCTGCTTTGGTCAGCTCGCGTACCCAGGTGCTCGTCCCAAAGATGGCATACTTGGACTTGTTCTTCTCGGCCTCGTAAGTATCGTATGTCTCGGTGACGGCAGGCCGCACCGGGGGAGTATACGTCGGGTAGACGGGCGGCCGGCTCATGCCACCGCTGCGACCGCCGCTCCTCCCAGACTCCTTGCGCTGCATCTCCAGCTGCTTGGCCTTCCTCTTGCGCTCCTCGGTGGCCTCCAACTCTTTGTTCTGTGAGGCGGCTGCGTCAGCAACCAAAATCCAACCCATAATATCCCGAGCCAACGTACCCGGGCAATAATCTCCTGAATCCGCTCTTCGTGACTCTCCATCTCCAAAAATGTCTTAATCTGGCTGGTGGTCAAGTTCTCCCGGTACCCGAGCGTCACCAGTTCGTCGAAGGCGCTAATAAGCTCGAAGGCATTCCTGAGGATTTCACGTTCGTCGAGACTCCTGCAGGTGCTGGTCACGACCTGGGCGAAAAGGTGCAGCGAGTCGATGTCCTGCAGAATGTTGGACTGCTTGTTGGTGATGAGCACCATGTACAGCTCGTCCAACGGCTGGTAGACAAATCGGACATTGTCCTGCTCGACGGTGGTGTGCTGTGTGCCCGAGTTCGCCGCCTTCGGGAAGGACGCTAGGAGGGCTTCGATGCGCGATCGCTTGATGTCGTGGAATGACCGCGCGAGAACGGCCTTGCCGCCGCGGGTGCAAATGGACGCAGCAAGGACAACCTAATAATTTTGTCAGCTTTCGCGGGTACCCAGGGAAACGGAGAAAACCTACCATCTTAGCTAGGCTCAAGGTGATAGTAGTGGTGGTGACGGTGGTGCGAGTGTGCGGCTGGCCTCCCTAGCTTCGACTCGGAGGCTGAAGCCGCTGTCACTAATTGGCATTGGCACACTGTGGTTGATCTGGCTTTCCGCCACTGCTAATCGAGGGGCTGGCAGCTGGCAGCGCACCAGCGCGTTGATGCACGGACCAACAAAGGAGAAGCAGCTGAGCTCACCAACTGAAATGCAGGGACCATTCAAGTGCGATCTTGTTTCCGATCCATTTCCAACCTCAACAACAGCAACCAGGCGACCAACAGCTTCATCTGTGAAGTTGCCCCGAACCCACCGACCCTGATCACAGACTATTTTACATTACGCGACTCGCCGTTTCTGCTCGAGGACACAATTACCGATCGCGAAATCTCCGTGCTCGGCCGACATTGTTGCCACACGTATCGTATCGTTCGCGATTGATCCGACATTGGATCATCTGCTAGTTTTCCAGTATTAAGTCACGAAAACCACGGCATTTCGCCGGCCATCACCTCACACAACTACATATCCAACAACTCCGTTCTTCAAAAGACCAGCCCATCACGCTATTCCAAATTATCCTGACTCGCGCCTTCTCTACCGCCTCACTGGCCGGACCTTCCAAAACACTTAATGCCGATGTGCTTCCAGTAGCAAAGAAGGCTACCCAGTTTATCACAGGGCCTTGTGTGTTTCTCCTTCGACCAACTACCTCCGAGCCACACACAATTCATGATGGAAAATGCTGGGTTATCGGTGGAGACTGGCCCGCCCGATCAGCTGGACCAAGCGTTTCAACTAGACTTCGAGTCTAATGCGGAGCTTGAGGCTTTCGAGGCCGAGGGGCTCGATTTCGGACTAGACGGGCCATACGAGGAAGTTGAAAACGGTGTCGCTGATGAGGTCCCCGCTGATTCGTATGCGGGATTCGACCACATCCTCACAGGGCACCTCCCGGACGATGCCGCTGTCGAACCCGAACTTGAGCACACGGGCCCAGAGGTTGCCCCTCCCGCCACCAATGATGAAACGGCGCAAACCACGGAAGCCATTGACAATGCCAATGGTGCCGACGATGACGCCAAAGCCGACGGGGCATATCAGGACGAGATTGGATACGAGGATGACGAGCTCCTGGCCACTGAGGCCAACGTTGAGTTGAGCAATACGGAGGCCGATGAGACAGAGATTGCTTTGGCGGACACCCTGTCCGAGGGCAACCCGGTTCCCGTTCCGGTGACGGATGATGGCGGCCACCTCGAAGAATCGTTGCATGGAAACGATGTGTCATGGGATCAGGACGTCGACTTCCAGGGCCATGATGAGAGCATAGAGGCACAAGACCCGCTTGACGACGCCAATACAGAAGAAACCCCTCCTCAACCGGAAGGAAACGGCGTCGCTATTGACACCTTCGACGATGAGGCTACGCGCGGGCACCCCGTTGCTGATTACCGTGGCTTTAATCTGGAGAAAGTGCTCGACGATATTATGCTCTCTCGTGCCAAGATCCCGGACATAGAAGTTCTCTACAACCAAGAGTGTTATTCCTTGTTTGGGACCTCGGAGGACGACTCTGATTCGTATTTCCTTTCTGGAGTCGAGGAGCTCGACTGCCCCCTGTCACAATTTCTTTCTGCGCTTCGTGCTGTAATCTCAGACGAGATCGCCGCCACGGATGAACTGGTGATCCGCTTTGACCCTCTCGAGCTCGAGTTTGGGGAGCGATCAAACGAGAAGTTCCTAAATCGCACTTTTCGTGAGATACTTGATTGCCATTCCGCCCTTGGCCAGGTACCTGGCGCACCCGCGGACCCTGTCCTCCACCTGACTGTGCGACGCGACAGCGAGGAGCATTTTCTCGAGCTCCTCTCCAATGCGTCCCGGTTCAAGGGCTCCCCGAGTAGCGCAGAGGATTCTGAAATGTCAGAGAACCATGAGGAGGAATCCCGGGCCAACGATCTTGATTATGAGCAAGCCCAAGATGAGGCCTTCGAAGACGGAAATATGGATGAGTATTATGACGAAGGCGGACATGCCGACGCCGATCATGAAGAGCAGGGTGAACCCGAATCAGCTCTCAGCCACGATCAGTCGTCGGGAGAGCAACGGCAGGATGACCAGTTTGACGTGACTGCACCGCAAACCTCGGATGCTGCTGACGTAGCTTCCGGAGACGAGGGGCGCTTTGAAATTCCTTCCGCCGAAGGGCCCTCTCATGACACAACGGATGACGGAGCTGGTGAGGAGCAAGCCTGGGACGGACAGGCTACAGAAGACGACACTGGTGCGGCCTCGCAGCACCCCGAAATTCCGGTCGAGGAGACGGATGAGGTCAACAACCAGCCGACAGAACAACAGGGTGATGAAGTTACCGAAACCGCAGGTTTCGGTGCAGTCGATGAAGACGCGGCGTCCAATGATGGTGTATCCGAACAGGAAGCAGGTTCTAACGGTAAATCCCCCTCTTTTCTTTCTCCGACTCCGCCTATTTCTCTTTACAACTCGCCGGTCAAGTCTTCCCCTCCTCCGGTCCAAGAAAAGCTCTCAGTTTCGGCTCCAGTACGAGTGCCAAGCTCGATCGGAGTTAACGAGGAAGCTCCTTGGGATATTGATTATTCGGATGACGAATATGAACACACTCCCGGCAGCAATCTCGAGAGCAAAACATCACCACCCCTCCAAATACAAGGGCAGAGCCCAATCTCCCGGTTTCTTGGAACGAACTTCAACCGGACTCGTGGCAGCTCTGTGGGATCTTTCTATAGCAGCAAAGCTTCCGAACCCAGTGACGTTAGCATGACTTTTTCCGTCGACGTTGATGCTAACGGTGATGCTCATCAAGATGACGATCTCATACTGGCGTTCGACGATGAGCCCGGCTTATCTGCCATCCACGAAGGAGCGGACGAGCACGAGGACACGATTACCTACGATGACCTAGAAAATCCCGACAATGATGCCGAAGATGTGCAAGAGCCGCTTGCCGCCGGAACCTTCAACGAATCCATCGTTGAGCCTTCAGAGAATGGAGGCCATGACACCGCCGTGGCGGAAACGGCATCTATTCACACGAGCACGACTATGAATGGCGACGAGATTGACTACGACGCGGATGATACCGCAGACGGCGTCTTCACGCCAGCAAACGACGATGCTCAACAGTCGGCGGCCGCCTCTGGTGACGATAAAGACGAAATCGACTGGGAGAATGATGAGGATGAGTACGAGCAACAGCCAGCGATTGAAAATGCCGGTGCCGACTACGAGGAATCGAAGGAAGTTCCTCTAACCCCACCGAGCGTTGCTGGTAAACGGAGCAGGGCTGACGAGACAGAGAGTCTTGCCGAAGAGACCGGTATGCCGCCTCCCGCTAAAAGGTTGCGCCTTCACTAACGGCAACCCAGATTACAAGCGTCGCCGGACCTGAACGGAAGACTCCCCGCAACCCCCTCGATGATTTCTTATGCACCCAAATATGGGTTGTAGTTCAACCTCACATTGGCTATTTATTATTTCCCCCAACCCCGCCCAATCCCCCTCCCCGTTTCCAATGTTTGACAGGTAATATCTCGACACAATCGGCAGCGCCTTTTGAGCGACTGTGCTAGGTAGGTAGGATTTTCCACGACGAGTCTAAGATGACTCTCCTGGGTTTTGAATCCCGGCCAGCATGACCGGAGTTCGCACCCTAGACCAAATCATTCGGACATGTCAGCAGACGAACAATCCTTACGAGCATGGTTTACCAGCTCAGCAACGCGCCAAAACGGCGCCTCGACACTCCATCTAACTCAGCATTTTTTTTACCCGCCTTTTCAACTGTAGGACTACTGAACAATTCCGGAGTTGGTGGATCAGAAAAGGTTATTGGGGCATGGATTTTGGGATGGCACTATTGCTTCATAGACCTCGGACTTGGTCCATCAGCGGCGGTCATTCGCCCGAAGTTACTTTTTTGTCACGGAGGTTGGGTTGGTCTGGGCCTTCCCCTGGCTGCCGTTCTGACCTTCCAAAGCTTGGGGGGTTAGATGAGCTGGCGCTGACACTCTCAAAAGGACGGCGAGTGAGGGGATGGATGGTTTTCTTTCTTTCTTTCGATTCTTTGGCTGGTACGGCTGTTACTTAAATCACCCCGTTTTTTGTGGTTAGGGGACTGTTGTCCCATCTCTGGGCGTGACGCGATGAAACTACGAAACTGTCTGTTGAGTGTATAGGTAGTTATCGCCCAGTACGTGTTTTGGTGGTTGTAATAGAGTCTCGAGACAAGTACATACATGCATGGAAGGCCATCATACCGTGATGTGATGGCCCTATTTCTGAACCCCTTGGCATTCGCACGAGAGAGTCTACTGTGTCGATATTTGCATAGCTCAGGGGTATCGGAACCAACTGCAGAAGTGGTCATCCCTATCAGAACCGCATATATGCATGAAATATGTTTCCATGTCCCCATGTCTCTCAGATCTTTATAAAAAAAGGTGACAACCAGTTCAAGCCGAGCAGTTTCGCACACAAACATCCACGCTGTCCAGCCACTCAGTTTCGTTCAAGCAAGCAGGGAGTGGGGGCGCTGACGTGGTTTATGGCCCTAACTGTGGGTTAAGAACCGAGGCAAGGTTGTGATCGGGCCCGCTCTCCTCACCAAAACCAGCCAAAACCCCAGGTGAGATGAAGGGGGCTTTCATGTGGAAAGCGCCCTTGACGAGCCGGACTCTCAACCCTAAATGTGCGTGTAACAGTTCCCCGCTGAGTCAGAAACCGGGTTAGTTATGGGTGAGAAAATGTGACTTGGCTTTTGTTTTAATCTTCGTTTAATCTTCAAACGAGTCTGGCCAAGACCAAGATTCGCGGCCTCTTGGCGGGAAGAATCTCTCAATCTCGTTGGTTTTCGTGGCTGAGTCCAGTCCCTGTTGCGATTTGGCGCGTGCCAAGGTGTGTAACCTGGAAGTGGAAGCGCAGGTGCTGGTGGCTGCGGGCCTTTTTGGAACACAGCAAGTCTGGCCGCTCCCCCCAAGGCACAGGCGCGGCCGAAAACAGGGGTCCCATCACTCAGACAGGGGTCACCCGAGATTCTTGAAACCGCCGCCCGTCCCCAGACTTCCACCCTCGCACCACTCCAGCGTAGCAGGGGCCTTGAATGAAACTTGGCTCTCCACGGCGCAAAACAGCTGTTGCTAACCACCTCCACGATCATTGCACGAAAGAGGAATAACGGACTCGCTCGTTTCTTGAATGACCACGGCCGTAGTGATTTTTTCACTTTTTGTAGGTGGCACTTGAAAAAAGGAGGAACAAGCAAGCTGGAAGGGCCTAGCGCGCAACAAACGCTGGACAAGACTCGGCTTCGACTTCTGTCCTCTTCCAACGCTTGAACAAGCAGCCGGACGAACGAACGGAACACTCCCCCGCCACACCCCGTCGCTCGAGGAACCGTCGGCCGCGATCGGTAGCACCCGGATGCATCGGTGGCAGAGAGAGGCCTTGCTGAAATCTTTCCCGTTGTTTTCCCCCGGAGTTCTCGCCCGGCGCGAGCGCCCTGCCCCTCTCTCTACCAACCTCAGCCTATCGCTCCGACAGCACTCAACCGGGTAGCGCATTGCCGTTACCCCGACCGTCGCTTCGAGTTGACCTTTTCACTACCGAAACAATGCTGGAAGACAAGTACGGTTCCTCCCGCTGGAAGCTGTCCTGCTGCCATGGCACGGAACGGAGGGGGCGCAGTTTCGCTGACACCTGAGGGCAGGTACATCGGTCTGGCACTAGCCATGACATCAAGTTTAGCCATTGGTATGCGCCTCACCCTATGGTCGGATGGGATTACAGCAATAGATCGCTAACATGCTGCGTCACAGGTACTAGTTTCGTGATCACCAAGAAAGTAGGATAACTTACCCCCCTTCCCCCCTCCAAAGCCGACACCGGCCGCGCTAGAGGGCCAACGTATCACGCATACCGAACAGGAATAGTTGTGCTGACCAGGGGCTTGTCTGCTCTAGGGGTTAATGCATGCCGAGGAACGGCATGGCTTCGAGGGCGATGGATTTGTCTACTTGCGCAGTCCCATCTGGTGGGCGGGCATCATATGCTGTACGGATCTATTCGGCGCTGGTTATATCTCGGACAAATGCGCTGACGGCACTTCACAGTGGTTCTCGGAGAAATCTTCAACTTTGCGGCCTACGCCTTCGCGCCCGCCATCCTCGTCACGCCTCTCGGCGCGTTGTCCGTATTGATAGGAGCTGTGCTGGGTTCCTACATCCTCAAAGAAGAGTTGGGGACTTTGGGCAAGCTGGGAAGCGCAATTTGTCTGATTGGGGCCGTCATCATTGTCTTGCACGCGCCCCCTGACGAGGATATCGAAACGGTCGACCAGATTCTTAACTATGCGATTCAGCCAGGTTTGTTTTGGCCCCTATCCTCTCGGCCACCCAAATATGGGGCGTGTTCTTGCTAACCTGCATCAGGGTTCCTGTTGTACGCGATTTCCGTCTGCGTCTTCGCGGGCGTCATGATTTACAAGGTTGCCCCGGTCTATGGGAAGAAGAACCCCCTCATCTACCTGAGCATCTGCTCAACCGTCGGGTCGGTCTCAGTGATGGCTGTCAAAGCGTTCGGCATCGCACTGAAGTTGACCTTCGCGGGCCACAACCAGTTCTCGCACCCTTCGACCTATGTCTTCATGATTATCACCGTCGTCTGCATCCTGACCCAGATGAACTACTTCAACAAAGCGCTAAGCCAGTTCCCCACCAACATGTACGATCTTCACCCCCGTCCCCTAGCAGCCCTGCAACGTTGACTAACCTCCGATAGTGTCAATCCCCTCTACTATGTCACCTTCACCACCGCCACGCTGTGCGCCTCATTTATCCTCTTCAAGGGCTTCAACACCACCGAAGCCGTCAACACGCTCTCCCTCATCTGCGGCTTCCTCGTCACCTTCACGGGCGTCTATCTTCTTAACCTCAGCCGTAGCGACCCTAACGGCACCAAGATGCTTGCGCGGCGTAGCAACGGCGATGCCACAGGCACCGACATGATCTCGAGCATCCAGACGCGCATGAGCATGGAGGCGCGCCGGTCGCAGGGCGGCGGCAACCGCTCGAGCGACCGCGAGGGCCTGATCCACGCCTACGACGAGGAGGCAGCCGGCGGTGGCTTCGGCCTGACCGACCTCGCCGAGGATACCGACGAGGAGAGCTCCGACGACCCCCGCTCGCCCATGATCCCCAACTTCCAACCCCAGAGGTCTAACGGCTGTCCGCCAAACGGCGCCGGGGCGGCGCATCTCGCTGTCAAGGGCGGGAATAATGGGTCGATAGAGCTACAAAATCGGAAGTCGGGGGAGAGGTGATGATGCGTTGTCAGCCTTTTTCGGGGGGTTTTTTTTTTCTTTTTTTTTTCCTTTGTTCTTTCGCATTTACTGTTCTAGGCGCCCCGCCAGACCGGCGCTCTCGAAATCACTTCGCCTGTTTATTGTTGTTGTTGGTCTCAAATAGCAGACAAACAGAAAGGCAGACAGACAAACGGACATCAAGTCCGCTTTTTACTTCGCCCTACCATCTCGGCACAAGATTTCGATCCGCCGCCTCAGCGACAAATCCCAGATTTACGGAGCAACAGACCGAGCGAAAGACTAGAGGCCGAGATGAAAGACAGAATTTGTTTGGTTATACGTGAAGGTGGAAGAGGGAGGGCGTTTGGTCCCATGTACAATTTTTCTTTCCCTTCACTTTCTCTGGGAGGGGGGGATAACGGGCCGGGGAGTTTCGGCGGATCTCATGAAAACAGGCGGGATGGGAGTGGAGGGGAGGAGCGCGGGGAAGAACGAAATATGCCCGACAGCGCAGGACAGGACGGGTTTTGGAGCCGGAGGCTGCGGAGGGCAGGCCGGCCGGTGGGGTGGCCGGGGGGGGGAATGGGTTCTGATGCCAAAATCTCATGATATCTGTTCTGGAGGCGGGCGGGCAGGGCGGGTGGGCAGCGTAGCACATCATTGCACGTCTTGGGCGTTCTTGGGATAGTTGATTTAACTTGGCCTCTTGGGGGTTCTGCTTCTGTACGATTTTCTAAATCTGCCGCGTTGCGGCGTTGTACAATATGATGAGGCTCGCTTGTTTCTCCTTCCTTCGATGTGTGTGCGTAGCGGGTGTTGATATACGCATACCTCCCGCCTTTGGGTGGGCGGGGAGGAAAGGGACAGTCAGATCGCCCGCTTGGCTACCTTACTTGGCATCAATCACATCACAGTACATGCCATGTCGGTTTATTGAGAGGTATAATTCCTCGTGCGAGTGCAGGATCTTCCGACGTTAACTGCCCTGTCCATGGGTTTATTTGGATAGTTACAAATCCACTCTCCAAAGCATCATTCCGTCCGTTTTCCCGTTTCAGACTCAATGCATTATGCTCAATGTTGACGCCGAGTGACCCATCCATCATCCGCAACCATACCGTCGAGCGTGTGGCGCGCTCGAAGAAACCCTCCCAGTCAGAGCCTGCATTCGTTTGCGATTACCAACCGCTGGAATCGACAGCCTGGCTGTGCCCAAAACCAGTGCCCAAGTCGGTGTCGCCTCCCTGACCGGAGAAAGAAGCCACATCACCACCACCGGAGCGATCCTATTGCTCCGCGGGGGCGGGCTCCTCCTCACCGGCCTGCTCCTCCTGACGGGCAGCCTCAGCAGCAGCCTGGGCGGCGGCGGCCTTAGCGCCGTAGTCCTGGCTCATGGGCTGAACAACCGGGGCCTCGTCCTTGGGCTCGATAATCGTGACGGCGTCAGGGAGCGATTTCTGCGGGCCGGCCTTGCCCTCGGGGTCGCTGCCGCGCATAATCTTGACCTTAATACCGAGCACACCCTGGCGGAGAAGGACGTGACGGGTGGCGCTGTCGATGAAGTCCTTGGCCGGCTGGCCGGAGTGGATCATGAAGCCGTCGGTGAACTTCATGCTCTTGGCGCGGGCGGCGCGCAGCTTGCCGGAAACGACGACCTCGCAACCCTTGGCACCGCTCTCCATGATGAAACGGAGGACACCATAGCAAGCACGGCGGACGGCGAGACCGTTCAGCAGCTTGTACCGGAGCGACTCGCACTGGGCGACGGCCGAGAGACCGCGGTTCTGGACCTTGGCGGCGTAGAGGGAGACCGAGTTCTCGGGGAACTTGAAACGTTTCTGAATGAGGCTGGTGAGCTCGCGAATGCGGCGACCCTGCTCGCCCAGAACCTCCTGGGTGTGTGTTGCGCGGATGATGATGTCGGTGACGGTCGGGGTGACTCGGACTTCGACGCCGGAGTAGCCCTCCTCAGCGAGTTCTCGCTGGAAGAACTCATTTAGCTCGGCGTAAAAAACACCGTCAGCAACGAACTTTCTCCTCTTGGAGCTGCAAACAGTGGTTATGTCAGTCTTGAGCTCCCTCTAGCTTCATGCACATATAGAACCATGATTTTGTCCGCTCGCATCGCTGATTGCCCATCGAAAAGGTGGTTTCGCTACTTACATCTGAGTACCGGGAACAGCCATGATTGTGATTGTGATCTGGCGATAATAATCCTCACGACTTCAATTGTTGGAGATGTTGAGGCACGGCGATGTTGACCCAACTTTTTTCGGACTGGGGGAAATTCGACCTGCACAGGGCTTTTTGCGAATTCTTGGTGGGCTGTCTTGCCCGGTCTGATTGTGAAGTGGAGTAGGGTTTGCCTCAACCAATCAGTCACTTCTCCGACTGAGAGGGGTGCTTCAGCAAAAACCAGGCGTGGCTGCAACGGAATAATGCAGCCTTGCGGCTGGCCTGGTTTAGGTGGGGCGCTAATCGCCTATCGACGTCAAGTGCGAACGGTTCCCTAGTCCGTCAACTCCACTGGGTGTAGGCGCAAGTCGGCAGGCACGGTCTTGTGATGCTGTTTCCCCAACGCTTCCACAACAGTTAACGGAGGAAGCTTCCAAGCTACTGTCGGACTTGCAACATGTGCTGACCATGCCAGCTAGCCCCAGTCTCAGTGTCTCCCTCGCCACACAAGTTACTCGCGGATGAACACCAGGACAGGACTGCCCCCGCGATTCTCCATCTCCCTGTCAACCTCGCAACTCTCGGTTTGCCTGATCGGTTTGCCTGACTGAGCTGCTTATCAAGCTCCCGCTACAGCTCCGCCCGAAAAGTACCATCCTCGTTTCTTAGCCATGTCGGCTCCTCAGAGCAAGCACGTACGTGATCCTCTGCTGCAACCGGGGGGGATTGTACTAAAAAAAGAGTGCGTTAGGTGTATCCCAATGTGCACGCCCTGCGAGGCGGGCAGCCTCAACTGGGCGATTTGGCACTTAATGACTTCCATCTCGTCTTCCGATTTCCCCCCGAATCAACCGCCGACGCCGACTCGCATTCTAAGAACCCGGTCAAGCAGGTTTGGTTTGCGTTCCACGTCATCTCCCAGTGCACGCTGCGGCCGACTACTTCCTCGAGTGGTGTTCCCTCATCGATACGAATCCGTTTCCGGGACTTCACGTATGTCTGCTTCAACTTTCCCGACGAAAAGCAGGCCCGAGATGCATTCGAATTCGTCCGTGCGAGGACCTGCAGGCTAGGGAGCATAGAAAACCTTCTAGCCTTCAACTACACCCCCCCACCAGGCTCGCCAGAGAATAAGATCAATGGTTGGGACCTGTACGACGCGAAGGCTGAATTCAAGCGACAGGGCATCAGCGAAAAGTCGGCGGACCTAGGGTGGAGGATAACCATGATCAACAAGGATTACGCCTTCTCCCCAACGTACCCAGCAGTGCTGGCAGTACCGTCCAAGATTTCGGATAGTACCCTGAAGTATGCTGCGGCTTTCCGCTCTCGCGCCCGGATCCCAGCGCTCTGCTACCTCCATCCTGTCAACAACTGCACAATAACCCGCAGCTCACAACCGTTTGTGGGGCTCCGAATGAAGCGCAGCATTCAGGATGAGCGCCTCGTCGGAGCCTGCTTCTCTGCCAATGTGGACTGCCTCGATACAGGACCTGCGTTAAACACGGGGGAGAGCCCCTCTTCCAGCCACGTGGACCTGACCGCCGAGGGTGCAGAGGTTGATACCACGTCGCTCGAGGCGGAACGTATGCAGATGGAGGATGAATTTATTGCTAGTATTAATACGCAGTACGACGAAAAGACCGGAAAACGACTGGTATACGGGGCTCAGCAACACAACCTGATTGTCGACGCCCGGCCTGCCATCAACTCTTACGCCATGCAGGCTATCGGAATGGGTTCGGAGAACATGGATTACTACAGGTTCGCGAAAAAGGTGTTCCTAAATATAGACAATATTCACGTCATGAGGGACTCCCTAGACAAGGTCATCAGCGCCATCAAGGACGCCGATGTTTCCCCTTTCCCTCCGAACAAAGATCTCCTAACCAAAAGCAAGTGGCTGAAGCATATCCGCGGCATCCTGGACGGCTCGGCTATCATCGCGCGGCAGGTTGCCATCCAACATTCCCATGTGCTCATCCACTGCTCCGATGGCTGGGACCGGACGAGCCAGCTGAGCGCATTGGCCCAGCTGATGCTTGATCCGTACTACCGCACCATTGATGGCTTCATCGTCCTGGTTGAGAAGGAGTGGCTGTCGTTTGGACACATGTTCCAAATGCGGTCGGGTTACATGAGCCATGAGAGCTGGTTTACCGTGGATAGTGAAGCGCTGGCGGGCTCATCAATCCGGCCGGGTGAAAGCGAAGGCCGGGGGGATGCGATCGAAAACGCCCTCGCGAGTGCAAAGAGGTTTTGGAACAAGAGTGTGGGAGCCGAGAAGGAGGCATCGTCATCATCAGAAGTGGAGGAGCCCCTAGCTGTTGACGAGTTGAAACAAGGCCCTGCGCCCATCACCGAAGACCAGGCCACGAAACCCAAAGATGTGTCGCCCGTTTTTCACCAGTTCCTCGATGCGACCTATCAGCTTTTCCGTCAACACCCAACGCGGTTCGAGTTTAATGAACGCTTCCTCCGGCGGTTGCTGTACCATCTATATTCGTGCCAGTACGGTACCTTCTTGTACAACAATGAGCAGCAGCGTCGCGAGGCAAAGCTTCATGAACGCACACGGAGTGTCTGGTCGTATTTCTTAAGCCGCCGTCAGGAATTCACGAACGACCAGTATGATCCGACTATCGATGACCTCACCAAGGGGCGGGAGCGGCTCATCTTTCCGCGGCTGGGCGAGGTGCGGTGGTGGCACCAGGTGTTCAATCGCACTGACGACGAGATGAATGACGACATCAATGCCTCTCTAGCCACAGCGGAACGCGTCGCGGCATATCAAGCCTCGTCAGGGTTGTCGGAGCAAGGTGCTGGTGACAACGCAGGGACCCAGTCCGAGATCGCATCTGCGGACACCGCGAGCTCATCCCACCCTCAACCACCGGCTTTGACTGCAAGCCAGTCGGTGCTCACGGGCGTGGAGACTGCTCATGAGGCTCTTACGCCAGAAGTCAGGACGTCAGCGTCATTCAATCGTAGTGCGAGCACAGGGGTGGTGCCCGGTGCCCTTGGGGCATTACAGGACCGACTCTCTGGGCTGAACATTGGGAAAGGCGTCTTCGGCGGCACCGGTAGTCCGAGTACGGGTAGGAGTCGTCCGGGTGGGCATAGCACAGAGACTAATGGTCCTGTCGAGGATCAGGGCAACAAGAAACCGGAAGAGGTGGGCGAAGGGCAGGAGATGAAGAGTATGGACTGAGCTAGGTCGGGCGGCATGAAGCGGGGATTGTTTGTTTAATCAGCGATTTTGTTTGTAGGGGCTAGATGGACTAGGCATGCTCTCTCATAAGAAAGGCATAGAGGAAACATTGGCAAGGACATGGTCTACCTATCATGGATATGAAGCTGGTTTTGTGATAAAGGGGTATTTGGACGCGATGCCAAAGGCATCTCGGTACCCTAGATGGCTTGGTGTTTTCATTGCTCAGCGCCGTCTTAATTACCTAGGTACATACAAAGAAGAAGAGCGTTTCAAAATAAAAAGAAGAAAAAAATCGCTTTGATGTTGATTTCATGCCATCCGGCTGATTTCGAAAAACACCCGAGTTGGAAGGGCTCCCCTTGAAGCGTGAGAAGCCTTACCCCACCCCATCAGCAGCCCCGCACTGGACATGGCTGGCTGGGCGCGCTGGGCTCAGAGGCTACGCACTGGCCAACCAAGCCGCAAGGCGGCAAGCTAGCAGCGACCCAAACGGGACATGCCTGGATTTTGACGGCCTGCTGCCCGCATTCCACCCACGCCGCACCTGGGCTGTCTGTCTGCCATCTCTCAATCCATCCTCTCCGCAGCTTGCCGATTTTTGCTACATCTGTGTTATGGTCGCCAGTGATTTGACCACGACCCTACATCAAATAGCATTTTCCAACCCACGGCTTTACGCCAACCCAACAATACAATCAATACCTGGGGAGTCAGTTACCTAGGTAGCTACCGGCGAAAACGAGCTTCAGCATACCTAACTAACAAGCGGGCAGCCCACTCTTGCTGCCAGTGCATTCGTTAAAGGACGCCCGGTCGGCCAACACCCACATCCACTTTCCCATTGCATCACATCCCGCACCACACGCGATCCCAGCCGCCATACCCAGCGCCTGCCCAAAAAAACCCAGCCTTGATTTCACCCCGAACAGAACACCGACTCCCCGATTTTCCTGCGACAGACAACCGCGCAGTTTCTTTCTTTCCACAGTCGCCCGCCATGGCTGACGCGACGAACACCAACGATGAGCTCTACCCCATCGCCGTGCTGATCGATGAATTGAAGGTATGGCGGTGACGAGGCCTCCCTTTCCCCCCTTATCCCTTCCCGCAGTTGCCGTGACTAATATTGCGTGTTTTAGCACGATGACGTCTTGCTCCGACTTAACGCTATCCACCGTCTATCGACGATTGCCCTTGCTTTGGGTGCTGAGCGCACCCGCGAGGAGCTGATCCCCTTCCTTGACGGTCAGCCTGCCCCGCCTCTCGCCCGATATCGCGGACTCATTCATCGCTAACATACCCCGGCTGCAGAGTCCGTCGAGGATGAGGACGAGGTCCTCGTCGCCCTGAGCGAAGAGCTCGGGGGCTTTATCGACTACGTCGGCGGCCCCCAGTGGGGTCACGTCCTCCTCTCCCCACTCGAGAACCTCGCAGCCATCGAGGAGCCCGTGGTGCGGGACAAGGTATGCGCGGGGGATGCAGTATCGGTAGTAACCCGGCGCGTTGGCTGACACACCCGTTTTTGCAGGCTGTCGAGTCGCTAAACAAGATCTGCGTCGATCTCTCTCCTCAACAAGTCGAGGAGTACTTTATCCCCCTCACGATTCGCCTCTCCAAGGCCGACTGGTTCACTTCCAAGGTCTCGGGGTGCGGCCTCTTCACGGCCCCCTACTCTAAAGTCTCGCCGCCTATCCAAGAACAGCTTCGACAACAGTTCAGCCAGCTGGTCCACGATGACACGCCCATGGTGCGCCGTCAGGCCGCCACCAACATGGCCAAGTTTGTGAAGGAAATGCCCGCCGCGATTGTTGTGGAGGAGATGATACCCATGTTCCAGCACCTAGTCCAGGACGATCAAGACAGCGTCCGGCTACTCACCGTTGAGATCCTGATTTCGATTGCCGAAGTCGTTCCCAAGGAGCAACAAGCGAGCCACGGTGTGCTCCTTACCTCGCTACGCAGCTTGATAGAGGACAAGAGCTGGAGGGTGCGGTACATGATCGCCGATAGGTTCGAGAAGGTCCGTCAACCGAGCGACAGGATTGCGGTGAAGATAACTAACCCGATGTGTAGATTGCCAAGGCGGTCGATGAGGAAGTCGTGGCTAGAGATCTGGTGCCCGCTTTTGTAAAACTACTCAAGGACGGCGAGGCCGAGGTCCGGACTGCGAGCGCCGGCCAGATCCCCGGTTTCTGCGCCCTAGCCGAACGAAACACCCTTATTAACGACATCCTGGGCACAGTAGAGAACCTGGTCTCAGACAGCTCGCAGCACGTGCGTGCCGCTCTCGGAACACATATTAGCGGCCTGGCCCCGATCCTGGGCATGCAAGTGTATGGTCCCTGCATAGCCATACCAAGAGATATCCACTAACTGTCGACAGGACTATCGATCATTTGCTGCCCATGTTCCTCCAGATGCTGAAGGACGAGTTCCCCGAAGTCCGCCTGCACATCATCTCCAAGTTGGAGCTGGTAAATCGGGTCATTGGCATCGATCTACTCGCACAATCTCTTCTCCCGGCCATCGTCGAGCTCGCCGAGGATAAGCAATGGCGCGTGCGGCTCGCTATCATCGGCCACATGCCCCTACTCGCCGGCCAGCTGGGTGTCCAGTTTTTTGATGATAAGCTCAGTCAACTCTGCATGGGCTGGCTCGGCGACACGGTGTTCTCCATCCGCGAGGCGGCAACTCACAACCTTAAAAAGCTTACTGAGGTATTTGGTGTCGAGTGGGCCAACGAGGCCATTATCCCTAAGGTGATGGCGATGGGAGCGCACCCCAATTACCTTTACAGGATGACCACGTGCTTTGCCATCTCCGTGAGTAAACCCTCGTAAGACAGTCCTCGGGTGGTAAACTGACAGTCAGAACAGACACTGTCCACCGTCGTGACTATGGATGTCATCGCCAAGTCAATCCTGCCCATGCTAGAAAAGCTCACAGCCGACGAGATCCCGAACATTCGGTTCAACGTCGCAAAGACGTACTCGGCCCTGATTGCGTCGTTACGCCGGCTGCCTGAAGAGGGCACCATCTATACGCTAGAGCAGGCCAAGACACCGTTTACGGCGTCGCCCAAGGGTCAGCAGCTGATCGACGAGCGGATCATGCCCAGTCTCGAGAAGCTCCAGAAGGATGACGACGTGGATGTGCGGTATTTTGCGACCATGGCGGCGGCCGCAGCGACGGGACCGATCGGGGCTGCTGGCGAGCCTATGAACACATCACCATAGAAGAGAGAGTCATAATGAAGCCATCCCGTTCTTGCCTTTGTTCTTTCGCTGCGTTTGCGGTTCACTCGACCTGGTTTATTCTTGGCTTCCCCACGGGGTCATGGTGGGTGGTTAGATGATGGTTCGAGTACTGTAGGGTATGGATCGCATGGGTCACCGTTGATAGACCGGTCACGGGCATGTTTGGTAAATGTGTATGCGAAGGGGGGAACAGGTCTATTATGGGCATGTGGGGTGGACACTCGGTGGGAGGGGTGGATAGCCATCGCTTCGCCTCGAAAATGATGATGATACCGCCAACGTTAAAACGCTATCATTCTTACTGGTTCGCCGGGTATCTCTTGTTGCCTTTGCTAGCCCTAACCAGCTCCTAGTTCCCGCCTCAATCTTTTCGAAACACAGCGTGCTGATAGTCTGCCCTTTGACGCCCCCAAAGCTGAAGCTCGGATACGGGTACTCTCCCCGCCAGCCGCAGCCTCTCCCCCGGCCTCGGTGGGCCGTGTCTTGGTCTCGAACCAGTCGCGCAGTTCCGCCTCGGTCCAGTTGCAGCTCGTCACGAGGAATATCCCGCCCGTCCGCAGAAGCAGCAGCACACGATCACCATAGCCCTCGCAGATCCGCCGCCCCTTGCCCGTCGCGCTCTCCGCTAAGCGACACCGCGTCGAACGTGCCCTTGTCCAGCACCACATCCCACCCCGCCGTCCCACCCGGCACCGCTTCCACTTCGCTCAGCGGCCCGTTCAGCACATCCCACACCTTGAACTCCACCTCCCGCTCCCCCTGTGTCTCCCCTACCCCCTGTCCCTCACCTTCCGCCTCACCGTCCTCTTCACCACCCCGCCCTTCCCTCCTCGAAACACCCACCGCCCTCGCCAACTCCACACTCCGCTCACTATAATCCACCCCGACCAACCTCCCGCCCCACCCCTCATCGCGCAGCGCAAACAGCATACTCCCGTTCCCACAGCCCAGATCCAGCACCGCGGCAGACGCCGGGTCATATTCATGCTCGTGGTCGTGGCCGTGATTGAGGGCGTGTTCGTCGAGGTAGGCGACCATCTTGGCCTGGGCGTCCGAGTCGTCGAACCACACGGTGCCTTCGTCGCGCGGGTTGGCCGAGTGGTTGGTCAGTTCGCGGGTGTAGAGGGTGTCCCAGCTTTTGGGTTGTATGGAGGCTGGTTAGTGTGCGTTGTTGGGGGATTGGGGATTGGGGATTGGGAGTTGGTTGGGGGGAGGGTGTAAGGGGAGGGCGTAGGAAGGGATATGGTAAGAGATGGATGGAAGAATGGGAGATCAAAGAGTGCTGGGGGGAACCAACTATTCTTTTGTGCCGAGGGCAGAGGGATCGAGGTGTGCTGGCGTTGGGTCTGCCATTTTGGAGAGTTGTATGTCAAGTCAGAGAAGTGATAGGTGGAGGTTATTGCAAGACGACTCCCAGGTTTGATAGTAATTTTGGTTTACGATACACCGTGTAAGACGGCGAGGGTTTTTGTCAAGACGGCACTGCATTAACATTCTGCCCTGCATGGCGGGGTCGTGGAGGGGCAGCTTGACCTGCGCCGAAAAGGAAGGCGGTGAAGCCGGCCTCTCCTCTCTGTCCCTCATGCACTTCTACTGTGTACGCTGCAGTACACTGCGCATGTATGTCCCAAACACCCTTAGCTCCCACTCGGTCTGCCACCGGTCATCACTCAAGTTACCCAGGGTATATAGACATGCATAGCATGGACAAGAATTAAATCCGTC